GATGGCTCTATTTAGACATTTGACAGTCCATGACTGTTTATGTGACCTCCTGTATAGAATTGGAATGATGAATTCCCCAAACTGTGTTTTTGTGTCACTCTAGTCAACTTATGACTTTGAACATTTAAATAATTGTAATGCATTTTCTCTGTATGAGGACATGGTCAAAAGTACTGGAGAACTTGTGAACTAGTGACATAAGCGCCAATGTTTGGTATTTGAAAAATAAAATAAATTCTTAAACTATGAAATATATTATTCAAACTATCACACAAATTCTGAATGAAATAAATTATATCAATTGATTAGATATTAATATTTATAGTTTGTCATATTTTCAAAGTAGTAATAACCATAGCTAGTATCAAGTATAAAGAAATCAATTCATTAAATTATTGTAACTGTAGTTTTTATTTTTACTTTAATGAGCTCATAAATTCAATGCATGTTTAAGATTAATTTAGAAATGAGTTGTCGTTTATTTAAAATATTATTCTTGTGTGCTTCGTTAACATGGAAACTTTTTTGAAATGTTGATATATTATTTCAATAACAGCTACTATCAAAATCATGTTTTCAGTATTCGCAGTATAGTCATGTATATTTCTGTATAGTTTTAACAAATTGTTTATGATTTTATATATTTACAGGCATTAGCAGTGCCATTAGTTTCACCTATAAGAATGGGAGGTTCATTTCACAAACCATATACTTTAAAGCATATAGAAGAACGAGTTCTCTTAGTTTTGAAATTATGCGATTATTTTAATCCTGACACAGTAAGTAATTCATAATTATTAAAGATAATTTTACTGTAATTTCAACTTTAAAATATATTGAACTTGTATAATTTAGTTTAATTTATTGTGCTATAATTTCCTCCATATAATCCATGGATTACATGTTAAAAAATTTTTTAATTTCTTGGTATAGATTATAGGCTACTGTGTATATAATGTATGTTTTTTTCCCTCTTTATAGTATTAAAAAGAATAATAGGGGAGAAGAAACCCATATAAATTGAATATGCATTTGTTTAAATATAGGAAACAAAATTTCAATGTGAGAATTGAAGTTTTTCCTAATTTTGCAGTATTAAAAACCAGTTCTAAACTTTTTTCCTATTAAATCTAGTTTAAAACTTTTTTTCTGCTTTAAAAAAAAAAAACTTAAAATATTATTATGCTTAACAAAATTTTTATTGATAGGAGAAAACTTGTTATGTTATACATTAAATGTTAAGAAGGAAAAGAAAGTATAAAAATAAGTAGGCAATTCTTTTAAAAATAAAATGAACTTATGTAAGCTGCATATAACAGAAAGTTGGTGTATTTTTAAAGTAAGAGAAAAGATGGAATGCCCATTATATACTAATTTATACAAATGAACAAAATAGATTTAAAAAAAAAAAAAAAGCAAGCTAGCAAGTAATTAAAAATGCTTCATTAAATTGCTAAAAATGCTAATTATGGATGCTTATTTGATTGTATTTTTTTATAAAGTATGAAAGTATATATATATTTTTTCTTTCTTATTATGGCTTTTTTTTTTTCATACATATTTCTTCTCTCTAGTCCATAATTTTCCATGCATCATATATCAATTTTTTTATATTATGTTAGTGTTAGTCAACTATGGATTCAAAAACAAAACTTCATTGTAAAAGCTTTTATAGAAAATCAATCTATGGAATCAAATCGTTATTATTATTATTAGGAGTTGAAAATTAAGACTGCTATTTAGAGATAACTACAGTGCTAGGGAGAGAATTATAATAATTTGATTCAGATATTAATGAAATAAATTGTTTTTCTTATTTTTTTTACTTCAATTCTTGTTTTGGAAAATATGCGTTAAATTGTTATTCATAATTCATTATTTTTTTTGTAGTTCATGTAATATTGCTGCTCATTATTCATATACATTAATCAATATTATATTGCCTCAAAAAAAAGTTCACTAATTATTATATTTTGTTTTGTACAGTTAACACTGGATACACATTTTACAAATGATTTAGGATTGAACAGTTTAGATCATGTTGAAATCATTGTAGCAATTGAAGATGAATTCGGTATGAAAGTTTTATCTTGGTGTTATTTTACCTTTTTTAAAATTTTTGTTGTAAAATTTTTGCTATAAATTTGATAATTTTTCAGCAGTTGAATGAATTTTCTCTAAGCTAATTTTAAAAGAAATTATATGCAATTTTGTTGGTTTAAGAAATAAATTTGACTTTTTTTTTTTACTACACTTGGCTAATTTAACTTAAATTGCATTTAATAATTTTTCAATAAATAATAATAGCTTGATTTTTACCAATATTTTTTGACTGGCAACCTAAGTGCTTCATGAATATTATTAAGATTAATTTTGAAAAAGTACAGAACACCTGTAGTATTAAAAATGAAATAATGTTTAACACTTTGCTGTATTTAAAATATTATTTAAAAATAAAAACTTTTTATTTAACATAGATTTTGAAATTCCTGAGGAGCATGCACCAAGGCTAATGAAACCAAAAGATATTGTTAGATATGTTGCTGATCGATTTGATATCTATGAATAAGTAAGCAACATTTCTTGAATGACTTTTATTTTAATTATTTATAAGTCTTATTAATTTTAATTTCTGTCACAGAAACTAGTTGATGAGAAATTATTTTTTATTACATATCACTATTTAGAAAAATTTTCATTCCCTTTAAATAAATTAAAATTAACATATCATGCAACATATTACACTAAGAAATTCCTATAATTATTAGATAATCACTTTTTAAAAAGGTATAGCCATATTCATTTTTAGTGAATCGGGTTGAATATTAAAGGAATTGTAATAATGTCTTAAGAATGTTAATGGTTATGTTTTCTGAGAAATGCATGCAAGATTTATTTAATATAAAACAGGTCATTAAGAAAATTTTAAATGATATAATTGTTGTAAGAATCGAAAAACAGTAATAATATAGTTATTTTAAGCCTCAAAAATGTTTTTGAAAAAAAAAGTTTATTTAGTCTCTTAATATAATATGTTGCATGAAAAAAATTATAATTTAACTCTTAACGTGATTTGATTTTTTTAAATAGGTACAAAAACATTCAAAAGTCCAATATAATACGAGTATTATATTTGTTATAATTTGCATGTCAATAAAAAAATATTCTTTAGAATCTAAATATAATAATTCTGTTTCAATCAATTAAATTAAAATTTATTATCTATCGTCACTCGTAGTAATAGAAATTCTGATGCAAGTTTATTAAAATTATGTTATTTCTTTAAAATTTCTATTATTATACTTGGCATTAAACTTTTTAATCATTTGTAGAGTATTTATATAATTTAATTAGGTTGACTTTAGTAAAGATATTATTACTGTATAAACAAAAAAATTAATTGATTAAAAATATTTATAATGCAATTTAAAAAAAACTGGCTTTTTTTTTTTCAGATGTAGATAAAAAGTAAATTCTCATAACATATTGCTTCTGAACAGTGACAAGATTGTTGTAGCTGTTAAAATTTAGTTTATTTTCATTTCAAATAAAAACTGAAAAGAAATCTTTGAGTAATGTCTTTTTTAAGAATAAAAAAAAAAAAAACAATATTATGCTGTTAATATTTATACACAACTTTTAATAATTTCTTTTGGCAATATAGAAGAAGCAAAAATACAATCGCTTTTAAAAAATCAATATTTGTAATTTTTTTATGAAAAAAAAAAAAAAAGCTTCTTAAAAAATTTGTGTTTAGTTTTTCTCTAGGATCTAAATACATATGCTCTGTTTCCTTTTGTATAGTATTTGCTTGGGTTTAAAAGGTAGAAAATTATATTCCATATAATTAAAATTGTTAATTTTTAAGCTATTTTTTTATATGCAGTGGTAAAAACCTTTTCTTAGATGAAAATTAATTAAATTTATTTATTAGTAAATTTCTGACATCCAAATATAATTGCATCCCTCTACAAAAAAGTGTTTGAATGTTATCAAGGATATTATTCTAAAAGATCTTTTAATAAATAAGCTATTCACATCGGTATGTAACCCAGTGTTACTATGAATGTAGATCAAAATCTAAACTGATGCATTCAAACTTTCATGCATCAATTTAGTTTTTTAAAACATAAAGCCACCGATTATTATTGGCATTTAAACACTTGTTAATTATCATTACTTTCAATAAATATTTAGTAAGCAATCGTAATCCAGTTTATCTCATAAAGATGCAGATAAAACCTATTTAAAATGTTGCAAAAATATGCAAACATCATTTATGTATTATAAATGCTATAAAAAAAACCTAACATTAATATTGTTCAAAAACAGGTTTTAATTATCCATCTTCATCCGGACAATTGGGCTCCTGAGTTGTTTGACAAATGAACCTGTACAGAACATATATTTGTTTGTTTTTGGATTGTTTGCTTCTACCTCTTTCAAAATTTCTGCAAAATTGCATGAAATTTTTATTAAATAAATTTACAATTCTATTAACTTTATATTTTAATTTTTGCAGTCATAATTTATTCTTTCTCTGCATCTCCCACTTAAGATAAAAATTTTCCTTTCTACACATTGCTGTTTGGGAAAAATTCTTTTAACTCGCTCTTAGTCATACATCTTCTTCTATTTACAAATTACCATCATCAGTTGCCACAATACTAATTTTTCATCTGAATGTCATTATCATTGAAATTACTTATTTCCTCTGTGCTGCTTATATGGTTAACATCCATTTTAATCTATAAATATCTTGCTGCACTTTTACTTCACTCACTACTAATATCAGTAGATAAGCTAAGGCCTAGTTGTGTCTAATTTCAACCTCTCTATTGACATGTTTAACCAAATTTATCATTTACTAAGTATGTTGTTAAAAGAGTCTGTTATTAATCAACTGCATTGGTATATTGCAAGTATAAACTAAATTTTAGCAAAAAAAAAAAAAAAATGTAATTGGCTGGGCCTGTGTACAAGTTACCCTTAAGATAGCCAACGGCCATGCCATGCTGAATATACCGGTTCTCGTTAGATCACCGAAGTAAGCATCATTGGGCGCGGTCAGTACTTGGGTGGGTGACCACCTGGGAACACCGCGTGCCGTTGGCATTCACAAATTTGGGACCTGAATGGCCGAGTGTCTAGCGCTCAGTGCCACAGGTTTCGGTTTCGAATCCGGCGGTGCCATGGATGTTTGTACTGGTTTGGAATCCACTTTAAGCCGTAGGTCCCGGTCTCCTATGACTGTAAGAGCGTCACGGAGCCAAAGTCAGACTTCTACCTACGGGTGCTCCATCACAACAGAAGCTGCTTCCTTCCCTTCAATCATGAATACGTTTGGGCTCGGCCAGCCAAGTGGGATAAGAAACAACAACAACAAACACCCTTAAGATTTAGAATTTAATGTAAGAACAAAATGCTTAACACAAATTTGAAACAGACAAAAGAAAAAGCATCAATGAATCATATTCAGGCAATAAATTATGTTCGTTTCAGTTATAAAAACAAAAAAATAAAAAAATAAAAAAACTAGAATTTCAAACGATTTTATATAAAAAAAAAGTGAAAGGAATTCAATAAAAAGTACGAGAAATTTAAATAAACAATAAGAATAGCTCATGAAAAAAAAACAATAAGAAACATTGAAAGTGGTCCAGGGCATAGCTAACACACCCTCCCCAAAACAATACCCATATATTTTATGGGTAAATATTATATTCATATATTAACTATTTCTAAATTATATTCATAACCAATTAAATATCAAAACTATTGCATTAGTTAAACAATGAAGGAAGAATTAAAAGGCACGTGGAAAACTAAATTGCTTGAAATCACATTTTGTTTTCAATAACAAGATTTTAAATCTTAAGTAGTTTTAGTTCATCTCTGTATTATTATAGTTTTTAATTTTAAAATAATTTTGTTCATTATTAATTTATTGAACTATATTTGAAAATAGTAAACTATTTGGTAGCAAACTATTTAAAAGATTGAATTTCTAAAAGTCAATTGTTCATGTGAATCTTGAATCAACATGTAATAAAAACAGAATATAACTTTTAGTAAAATTCAGCATTCTGACATTTGATGGTTCTAAAAATTTTCATTTCAGTGGAACATAAAACTTGTAAACCTGTATTTAATCTTTTTTTGGAAAAAATGCAATATCAGATACTCTCTAATAATAATAATAATAAAAGACATAGGAGTATTACAGTTTAAAAAAAGTAACTTGTTAAAAATTACAAAGAAATAAAAATCAGATAACTATGTTATTTTATAAACATGATAAAGTACTAAGAAACAAAAATAGTTTCATCTTATACTTTTCTGTTACTTAAACACTGGAAAGTTCTCAAAATCAACTAACTAAAGCTGTTGAATAATTTTAAATTACATAAAAATTTGCAAAAGTTAAAAAAAATTTTATTTTTATAAATTAATCTATAATATATAATCAAACACTTCAAATAAAAGGGACTTATCGATAAATTAGCATTTTTTTTTTTTTTTTTTGTAAGAAAATTTTACTGATCTTAACCATAAGAAAGAATACCATTTCATAAAGATAACATTTTATAATTTTTAAAAAATAAATTACATAAATAAAACAGCATTTGAACAATCTTTCTTTCCAGGCTATTTGTTTCAATAAATATATACTTCCAGTATAATGAAAGTGTGCATTTATGAATTAAAAAAAGTCTCTCATGAAAAATGCTACCAGCTTCACCCAGAAGGGAACTTTCCGATCAGGTCTGTCAAACAATTCTTTCTCGATTGTGATGGTTCGATCATAAAAACTCTGTTGTTCCTAAAAATAAAAAGTCAAAGATATACATTACCTCTTGATAAAATTAAAAGAAATGTTTATATATTTGTGTTATTTATCGAAGCAGGCATTGTTAGTTCATAATTACTAGTTTCAATGTTTGTGTCTCTATAAATGTTTGTGTGCATGGTTGTATTTATCATAACACTGATTGATCCAATTTTTTATTGAGTTTATAATTTGATATGTGGTGTCTAATCAAAAGTTCATATCAAATAAATTACATAATTTAAAAGTATAATTTTTCTATCAAATATTAATTAAAAACACAGAATTTAATTACCCTCATAATGAAACTGAAATTATATAAAACATATTTAATTTTTATTATTTGCATTGAATGTATGGTTTGGTTTGCATTTATTTATTAACTTTTATGTAATGAAAATATATAATTTGCTGATTATTTTCCCTACCAAATTTGATGTGTTATTTATTAAAGCAATGAATATTAATGAGTTATTAAAGCAAACTAGTAATTATGAACTGACATGGCAATGCCAGTTCATAATTGTTTGAACAACAGTTAACATTTTTATGATCTGGAGACAATAATTTTAAAACCAATGTAGTTTATAAAAATACAGAAGAAAGTCTTCATCATATTTTTTTATGATGCACAAATTATAGCATGCACTCATTTCATAATAAATATATGGTGAGATTTTTATAATAGAATAATAAATATATCATATTAACTTACATTATGTAACTGCATTTGCAATTCTTTATTTTCTGTTGCTATTGCAACCTGGGCTTCTAAGTCTTTATATACAGACCGGTAACCTACAAATAATAAAGCTGATTTGAAAAGGATTTTTGATAAGATAATACCAGTTATTACGAAAAAGATTTTTTTTTTATTACCAACTAGTTTGATTTTTATTAAAAGCTGATATTTTTTATAACAAATTTTGAATTCTTATTTCATTTTTCAAATCTTTATTAAGCATGTCATTTTTTACTACATTGTGATATGAAGTTATATATTAATCTAAAAAAAAAGAAAATACTCAATCTACTTGGATTGTTCTCATATATTTTAAATCAATCATTAAGTCCACTACATTATGTTTTGACTATCCATGACTATTTTTAGCTTATTTGAAAATTATTTGTACTTCAAAAGAAGTATTAAATTATTAAACATAAAATGATTATGCTTTTTTCGCTTACTTTTTGGAATATATTTCCAAAAAATGGTTAAAAATTGACAATTTTTCTTTCCAAATTTAACTTTAAAAAAAATATGAAATTTTAAGAGACAATGCTTTTTCATGTTTAAAATTTTTTGTAATTTCTAAATTATGATGTTACATTAATGCTAGTAATTTTTTTAATTCATGACAAAACAATATGTTAAACAAATTAAAATAGCATACAAATAATTTCTACTTCTAAGTAAACAGAAAACTAAGGTTATATTACACTGAAAAGCAATTTCTTTATAATACTCACCAAAATTTGGTGAACCAATAAAAGTCACTAAAGGAAGCCTTGCGTTAGGTTTGTAATACCACAAACCCTTGACATGGAATGTCCATGAAGGTCTTTCATACTCACAAAGCTCAATTCTGTTCTGTTGGCGATGATTTAAGACTTTCGAAAAGAAATTTTTTGCTATTTGAGTGTATGCACTAGGGATAGCCCCTGAAACACCCTTGGCTCCATAAAAGCCATTTACCTACAGGGAAAAATTCAATATATATGATACATTTAAAATATCCACCGAAAAAACGAATCAAATGATTCAATAATGCAAAATATATACTAATTTGTAAACTAAAGACAGCCTTAGCCATAAAAAATATCAATGAATACATTCTCACGATGGGGAGTATACCATATATTGTTTAATGATTTTAAAAACATCATTATTATCTTATTTAATTATAATTTTTAAAGAAATCACAACAAAAGTATACAGTAAATTTAAAGCTAAAATAATTCTTATAAATATAATCGAATATGCCATATCATATAATATTCTGTGATATTTTCTCTAAAATATACTTCTTAACGATTTCATGAAATTCATCTCATGTTTTTTATGAACTCATATCTCAGGCAAAGAACGAAATGAAAATATTAATGCACATATATTCCACAGAAAGCATTACATAATATGGTGTGATATATTCAACTGTGTTTACAAGTTAATGACTGACATTATTAACATCTGCTTTGATAAAATGATTCAGTTACATGTATAATTCTAAACCTACTGCATATATATATAATTTGTTAAAAGTAATTAAAATAGTGGTAAAATTTTCTATTGTCATTTCCATTAACTAATAAATAATCAAAATCAACTTGCAGTACTCCTAAATAATTATTTAAAATATGAGCCTGAGTAAAAAAAAATGAAATGCGACAATGTTCAATAGCTCCCATACAAAATCTCCCGACATTTCCACCTTAAAAATATAACTTTTTTTATAACAAGGAGACAATGTAAAAGTTGTAATAGAATATTCTTTTTTAAATATATATATATATACTAAACTAATTTGATAATAAAAACGAAAGCTGAGCGGTCATAAAAAGAAATTTGGAAATTACTTTTGATAAAAAGGTTTATATTCATCTTTATAATCAAAACTTTAAATTAGAATTTCAAAACATTATACCTAGGATCATACATAATTTAGAAAATATATATACGATGATAAAAAGAATTATATCAAGGTTTATTTATATAAGTATCTTATTTGAACAAAAAGAAAAAAAAAAAATCAACACAAATTTCTAAAAACACTGGAATCACAGAAATTATACATTAATAAAGTATTTAATTCAAATAATAATACTTTATGAAGGCATAGAAAAATTGTTACAAAACATATCAATGAAAAATAAATTCAAGTTATCTAAGTATATTTCCAATGAGCATATTTGATATGCTTAATATGTATGTTGTTTATTCCATACATCATGTTTTCTTTATGTATTACAGAATTGTAATGCCATTACTTTTCCAATAACACCAATTAAAAAGTTTCAATCAATTACACAAACCTTTGGTGATGCCACTAGCAAGCTGAAAAATGATTTAGATGACTTGAGAATGATGTTCATGTAATGACTTGTTAAATTAAAATAACCTGAAGCCAGCTTAATGTGAGAATTGGGTTCAGCCCATCGAAGAAATCTTTCTGTTACTTGTTCATCTTGCCGGATTCCAAAGGTGTACATCTGAAGCAAAGGATATACTAAAGTATCAGATCCTTTTAAATCTATGCCTGAATCTCCTGTATGGTTAGACAA